AATAGCGTTAGCGTTTTGAAAAGGCTATCTACGGCCAGCGTTTAGCGTTAGCATTTTCAAAGTAATCTGCACCGTTAAAATTTTATCCAAAACGCTAACGTTAATAAAAAACGTTATTCTCAAACAAGGCCTTTATTAACGTGATTGTGTATTAAAGTCGGAAGGAGAATCAACTTACCAACTCTCTTGAGCTCTGAGCTGGATGAGAAAATCGTGCTAAATTAATCAAAGACTACAGATCTGCCATAATCAGACAAAAGATGTTTACAATCATCTCTAAAATCACTCGTTGCCACCCTTTTATTTTAATCGAGTTCAATGCCCTTTTTTTGACAACCATACCTTCCACTTATGATCTCGAGGTCTAAGGCTCCCCTTACAATTAATACTTTATATCAAGATCAAGAGTAAATTCCATAATTGGTCTTTTATAATATGGAGCTTCCATATTTAGTCTTTTATTATCAAATATTACCCTCGTAGTCCTTTTTTAAGGGTGCCTTTCCACAAATGGTCCTTTTTTGGATCTTCTGCCATATTGGTGTTAATTTAAAGGCTAAAAGTATAATTTGACATCAACATTATGTCTAGTGACGTGTTCTGATATTGGTTAAGCGGATAACACAAAAATAATGACTATGATTATGGGCTAGGATTCCGACAAAAGACCACATTTGTAAACTATGGTTGTAGTAAAAAGCAATTGTAATTCCCAAATGACGCAAACGGAACAGCCTTTGGAATTGTGTATGACAAAAAAGATATATACGAGTATATGATTGTTAAATTACACTTTAAACCCTCAAATTAACACCGACATGATATAAGATCAAAAAAGTACTATTTGTGGAAAGATACGCATAAAAGAAGGACCACTGGGGTAATATTTGATAATAGAGGACTAAATAGGAAAACTTTCCTGTTATAAAGGGTCAATTATGGAATTTACTCTTATATCAATTTTTCCCGAATTAAAATATCTTTTGGAGTGTTATTTGCGTCTTTTATTACTAAACTCTCTGAGAATTGTGTGGATTCCTCCAGAATTTTAAAATTTGCAGTAGTGGTCTCTGAACTTTAAAAACCTTATTGCTGCATCAATGATCCCTATGTGCCAAATTTGAAAGTGTGTTAATCACACACTCGTGCAGTATATTACACATGAGTTCTTCAATATGCCCTGTCCAATTAGAACCCTAGACAATTATTTCCACTTTAATCGTCGATAACCAAACTCGAAGCTCGAGAATTATTTGATCAAACTCTTCATCAATCGACCAACCTTTTCAACGTTTTATGCATCTTCATGAGCGCATGATATATTCATTCTTGAATCTGGCGTACAAGGACCATTGGTGTAACATTTTTAAATGTTCACAGACTATTGGTGTAATTTTTAAACTTTAAGAGAAACTGTGCATTTTTGAAGAGTTCGAAAATAATGACTAAAAAACTCTTTTTTGAGATAAGCAAAAAGTACTCCATTTGATGGAGGGAATAAATATAATTGTTCGGTGGAGGATTAAATATTTCATCAGTCTCAAACTAATATTTCTTGTTACTATTATGACTTCTTTATAACTTGTGTTTGCATATTTAATTTTATTCATCGTTCGATAAAAAAATTATTTTTATCACTTTTTATTTTATAGAATTTTTAATGTAGTTTTAAATTTTAAACAGTATAATTTTTATTTATCTAATAATTGCAAAAAAATTGTTCTAATTAAAATAATAAGAATAAATTGGAACGACAAACGCCGGGAATACTCTGTAACTAATCGTTGAAATAAATTAAAGTAACTTAAACTATCATCACAGACGGATCGGATATCAAAATAAATTAAGAGCATGTGCAATGGCAAGGAAGAGGCATGCCATGCACTGCTACATCAGCTTCTTCCACACATATCATGGCATGGTAAAGCTAAAATGTCTTGCTTTGTGAGGCAAGAGTGTGACACTCCATCCTTCTTTTTTTTATTTTTTTTTAAAATAAATTTTTTTAAAATTTTTTATGAAAAAAATGTACAAAAAAGTAGAATAATTTTTTAATAAAATAAATAATAAAAATATTTTTTTATGTTTAAAAAACAAAAAAAATTGTAAAAAAGTGATAAAAAATAATGACTTGCCATTGTAGAACTTGCCACTCCATTCACTTGTCACACGCTGACTGGACTATTTTTTATTGGTTAAAATGTTCCATGTCACTGTGTGGCATTACTTCATCTACTCTAAAAAAATCTCATTTTTTCATTTTAGATTAATATACAACTTTATTTTTTATAAAATAATAATGTTAATATTCTACCGAAGTGGAGGATAACATTTATTTAAACATGAAAATAATTATGTACATTAAAAACATACTCCCTCCATCCCATTTAAAATAATTATTTTCTTTACCAATTTTCGTTACCAAATTGATAAATAATATAGTTATATCATCTTTTGTTTTGTAGAATTTTGTATATAGTTTATAAATACATAAAATTTATTTTTTTAAATTTACGCCAACTTTTGAAGAAATTGATTTATAAATATTCTTAGTCAAACATCGTAAACAGCAACAAAAAATTTAAATTGGGACGGATGGAATATTTTACAATGATGAAAACATACTGATATTATATAATAAAGTGAAGAGTTGTATAAAACACACACACACAGATATATATATATATATATATATATATATATATAATTTAATAAAAATTAGTCTCATTGAATATTGAAGAATACAATACATCCCTATTTATGGGAATTACAAAAGTGTGTTTTAATCATAGTAGGAGAAGAACTAAGGTAACAAAACAAATAGGAAACAATAAATAAGGAATGGAATTAAATATAATATTTATTTCCTATTATTTACAAAGTAATATTTCTAATATTCTTCCCACAAGTTGATCATCGGTAACGAGGAGCAGTTTGGAGCACATGTACTGGAATTGAGATGGCGAAAACAGTTTTGTGAGGATAGCCTCTAGAAGTAGAGAGCCAGATTTTTGTTGCATGACGAACGAGCTTGAGACTATGTTTGCTGAATTTTTTTCTGATGAGAGTGTTGGCGATTAGAGTGAAGGCAAGAAGTTTTGATTTTTCTCCTTTTGGGCCATTCTTTATATACTTCTCTATCGATTTCCGTGATCTCGATCTCTATAAAAAATAATAGAGAAATGGAATTTTCCCGTTCTTTGATTACGCACATGATATTTTTGGAAGAGAGAGAGAGATATAGAGAGGTAATAGATTTTTTTAGAGAAAAAGAGGGGGATAATGGACAGCGGCTGTTAAACACGTTTGTCGAGATCGATCGGTGACGCTATGCTGTTGGACGATCGACCGCCGAGAACAGAGACCGGCGATGTGCTTGGTCGGAAAAGGAAGGGTTAGATTTTTGAGAACGTTAGCTCCGATATCATGATAAAATTTAATAATAATTGCTCTTATTGAATATTGAAGAATACATCCCTATTTATAGAGATTACAAGTGGGAGTTCTAAATATAGTAGAAGAACTATATATATATATATATATATATATATATATATATATATATATATATATATATATATATAGCAAAACAATTAGGAAACAATAAATAAGTAAGGAAATAAAATATACTCCCTCCGTCTAAAAAAGATTTACACATTTCAAAAAAATTGCGTCCCACAATCCCTTACCCATTTCAATTAAAAAACCACTTTTACCCCTCACTTTTTCAAACCCTATCTATCACATCATATCTTTTTTCTAATAATCTACAGATCACATCATACATCAAGATATTTTTGGAAAATCAACACAAAATTATCCATTCCTTAATTTTTTACTTTAGTCAAAACGTACCCATCTTTATGGGACGGAGGGAGTAATATTTATTTCCTACGATCTAATATTTCTAATATCAATATATACATTTTGAAACATAACTTTGAATATTTTATTTTTATAATACATTTAAATATAAATAGAAATATTAATTGTCAAAGTCTTGCATTAAACATCATAATATATTTCAAAAGGGGGATTTATCTAAATAATACGGAGTACTAAAACATAATGACTTTTCCAATATAGTATCATATATTTTTATTTTTCAATGTAATACCACTGATCATTATCCACTAGTCATTATTCAAGTAAATTCATAACGCCGCTAGACATTATATTATTCAAACTAAATGTCTACTATTACTGGATATTGTTCTTGTCATTAGACATTATTCAAGTACCATTTAATTTGAATAATATAAAAGTTGAAGTACTACATCATAATCTATGTTTTAGTACTCCCTCCGTTCTCAAAAACACTTCCTCTTTCATTTTTTCCATTTCCAACAAAACACTTCCCTTTTTTTATTAAAAACCCACTTTTACCCTTACTTTTTCATATTCTACCTATCACATCATACTTTTTCTGTAATAATCTATCCATCACATCTTACTTTTACCCATCACATCAGGGGCAAAATTGGAAATCAACTATAATTTAATACTTTCTTATTTTTGCCCCAAATCCAAATGGGAAGTGTTTTTTCAAACGGAGGGAGTACTATATTTCAAAATTGTTCTTTCCGGTGGGACCAACTTTACCACCAAACAGGAAACAATGCAATAATGACTTAGGTAATTCATTTTCGCCAACTAAGTGCACTAGCTAGTGTCCGGAAGCACCGATATATACCTTAATTACGCCATATCTCTCTATAATCTATCTACATATACATAGAGGACATCACCAACACCAAATATAGAATACCATCTCTCTCTAAAGCCAATTGATCTATCTGAGATCTTCTACTTCCATTCCATCAAGACTATATATATTATAAATACTTTCATTTTTAATCAGTCAATCAATAATACATATATATATATATATATATATAATGGGTCATCAAGTTAAGCCGCCGGCGCAGCTGCATTTGGGTTCCGCCGCCGCCGCATGCGTCCTGACGATCATTTTGGCAACTCTCGTCCTCTGCTTTGGTGTTCAACCAACTGAGGAGAGACAACTGATGATGGGGTCGACGGCGACACCGTTGTTAGCCAACAAAGAGCTGCACCCGCACGACGACGTCGTTGTCTTCACCAAAAGCCATCATGCAGCCGACATGGCTACTATTACTTCTTCTTCTAACGACGATAATTATGATGATTTCGGGCCCACTCAGAGTCCCGTCGGTGGTCACTATCTTGATGATTTCCGGCCCACTTTCCCAGGACACAGTCCCGGCGGTGGTCACCATCTTGATGATTTCCGGCCCACTTCCCCAGGACACAGTCCCGGTGGTGGTCACCACCTTGATGATTTCCGGCCCACTTCTCCAGGACACAGTCCCGGCGGTGGTCACCATCTTGATGATTTTCGGCCCACTTCTCCAGGACATAGTCCGGGCGGTGGTCACCATCTTGATGATTTCCGGCCCACTTCCCCAGGACACAGTCCCGGCGGTGGTCACCATCTTGATGATTTCCGGCCCACTTCTCCAGGACACAGTACCGGCGGTGGTCATGTTTGAGTAATTTAACTCCGTATGTTATAACGGAGCTACTCTACTCCGGAAGCACCATATTACGTACTCCCTATCTATACTATGATACTATGATGATAATAATAAAAATAACAATATACTCCGTAATCCGCATTACGAACTGCTTACTACGGAGTATATATTATGTATTACGCTTAATTTTGTTATTTGTATTAAGCTATTAATATATACAGTATGTAGCAGCTTCTTCGTTCTTCCAATTCTATTAATGCTACTTTTTTTTTATTATTGATATATATATATATATATATATATATATATATATATATATATATATATAGACACACACTGGTAACATATATGCATGTGTGGGCGGAAGTAGTATGTACTTTATTTATTACTCCAACATTATTGAAACTTATCGGATTAATGAAATTAAACTCAATTTTTGTCCTAGTATGCTTGCTAGCTCCCTGCGGCCGGCTGCTGTTTTTAGCTAATATATACTCCTCTCTCAAAAAAATATCTTTATTTCATTTGTGAGAGGTCCCAAAAGATTATCCTTTTTTGAAAACTTTTGACTCACCATCTTTCTCTTTCTTATGTATCACTCTCAACCACGTACACATTTTTCAGTTTTTTCAAAAGTTTGTGTTAAGTCAAGCTTAGAGCCTTTTTTGGAAGGGGAGAATTTATGCCTTATATGGTACGGACTGCGGAGTAGATCAGACCTCGCAAATCAGAACCGGAACTAATTAAAAATCCAATTATATACTCCCTCCGTCCCAAAAAGTCTTTCCTGTTTCATTTTTTGCGCATCCCATAAAACACTTCTACCGACATCTAAAATGCCTAAAATTTACAACATTTCTTCTTTATTGTGGGTAGAAGTTATTTTGAAAGTTTTTTTGGCATTCAAGGTGGGATATAAATATTTTTTGGGATGCGCAAAAAATGAAACAGGAAAGACTTTTTGGGACGGAGAGAGTATATTATCTGAAAACTGAAGATCCGATCTATAACCAATTAAAAATCCAAAATGATCCGAACCAAATCGAAACCGAGTCAATAATTCATATCCAATTCGAATCCAAAACTGATCATAACCGAACTGATTAAACCCGAAATTTATTAAATTCAAAATCGGTTAGAAACCAAACCGGTAAAATTTGAAACTGTTTTTCCTTTCATTAATGGGGGCAACTGCCCCGGTCAAATAATATTTTTTTGTTTAATTTAGTACTCCCTCCGTTCTCAAAAACACTTCCTCTTTCATTTTTTCCACTTCCAACAAAACACTTCCCTTTTCTATTAAAAAACCACTTTTACCCTTACTTTTTCATACCCTACCTATCACATCATACTTTTTCTCTAATAATCTATCCATCACATCTTACTTTTACCCATCACATCAGGGGCAAAATTGGAAATCAACTACTCCCTCTGTCCACCATAGATCTTCCCAGTCACTATTCACAAGGTCAAACTTCACTTACTTTGTTTGCTCATTTTCACTAGTCATTTCATAAAATAATATAGTCTTGTCACCTCTAGTTTTGTAGAACTTTTCATGTAGTTTATTACTATATAAATTTTATTTTAAAATTTTACTATTATAATCAATTAAATTGAATTAAAAATAAAGTCGGTCAAGCCTCGTAACGCGTAATGGGAAGATCTTAGGTGGACGGAGGGAGTATAATTTAACACTTCCTTATTTTTGCCCCAAATCCAAATGGGAAGTGTTTTTCCAAACGGAGGGAGTAATATATTTTCTATTTTGGTAAGTATAATAATGTGTTGCCCCCAATAAAAATCAGCAGTACGTGCCCCCATCCCACACAAAAATATTGAGCTTTTCAAATGTATCCATGGTTGAAAACCCACCACATAAGTAGACATAGATGATGAAAGACGTGAAAAAAATTGAAGAAAGTTAAGACATTGATCTAGAAATTTATAGTTTAATGTGAAATTTGCACTAAATAGAACTAAAACATAATGATTTTCTTAATATAGGACTTAGACTTTTTTATTCCCTAAATAGGACTTAATAATGACTTAGTAGAAAGAATAATGTCCAGTAATGATGGACATTTAGGTGAATAATGACTACTTGATAATGACCAAAGGTCCTACACTGGGAAATAAAAACATATGGTCTTATATTGGAAAAGTCATTATGTTTTAGTCCTATTTAGCTAAATTTCTCTAGTTTAATTGAGAATATTTTCTCATTTCATAACCTTTTCCTTGTAGTGTTCTTTTCCTTTATTTTTTAACCAGATATAGAAAATTGTTTTTATATCATTGTGTTCTCTTTTCAATTTCAACTTCCCTATGCCAAACATAGTGTTAGGGTTCTCACTTTGTTAGTTAGTTGAATAGTTGAATTGCTAGATTATTCTTTTCTTCTTTGAAATACTCCCTCCGTCCCTTTACACATGAGATGTTTTAATTTTGAAGAGATTTAAGGAGAGTGTATTTTAGTATTGAATTTCCAAAAATGTCCTTGGATGTGATGAGTAAAAGTAGGATTTGATGGATATATTATTAGTAAAAAAGTATGATGTGATAGGTAGGGTATGAAAAATAAGGGGTAAAAGTGACTTTTTAATAGAAATAAGAAGTGTTTTTTGGGACGGATGAAAAAAAAAGGAGAAAGGTTTTTAGGGACGGAGGGAGTATCTAATATGAACGCACTTTCACAAAGAAGAAATGAATGATAATGGTAAACACAAGTCTATTCTTGAAAACACTTCCGCTCTAGTTTTTTGCATACTCTATAAAATATTTTTTCTACCTAAAATGTCTAAAGTACCTCCAAAACAACTTCTACCCGTAATAAACTACTATCTCCGTCCCAAAAAGATTTATACGTTTTGACTAAAGTTGAAATTAAGGGAGAGATAATTTTGTGTTGACTTTCAATTCCAAAAATACCCTTGATGTGATGGATAAAAGTAGAATGTGATGTGTAGATTATTAAGAAAAAGATATGATGTGATAGGTAGGGTTTGAAAAATTAAGAGGTAAAAGTGACTTTTTAATATAAATGAGTAAGGGATTGTGGGACACAATTTTTTTGAAAGGTGTAAATCTTTTTGGGATGGAGGGAGTATATAATGTGATATATCTTAGACATTTTAGGTGGAAATAAAAATATTTTATGGGGTGCGCAAAAAATTAGGGCAGAAGTGTTCTCAAGAACGGAGGGAGTACAATGTTTAAAATTTTTTGCAACATACAATGTTAGTGCAATAGTGCCCCCAATGAATTTTCACTCTGGATCCGCCACTGCTGGCGATTAGCCTCCTCTCGTCACCTTTCTCTTTTCAGAATCGGATCACCTTCATAGCTGCATCCTCTTCTCCAGATTCGAGCATGCCCTCATTTCAATTGCTCTCTGATAGCGATGAGGACCAATATAATCTAACCCTCATCGTAGTCAGAAATATTTGGCCAAACACAAACGATTCATAACTGCCTTAAAACATCATGTTGGTCCGCTTCCATCAAGTTCTCTGATGACACCGATCCTTCGTGTCAGATGAATACCAAATACTCCGTATAGAATACCATCTCTCTCTAAAGCCAATTGATCCATCTGAGATCTACTACTTTCATTTTTAATCAGTCAATCAATAATACATATATAATGGGTCATCAAGTTAAGCCGCCGGCGCAGCTGCATTTGGGTTCCGCCGCCGCGGCATGCGTCCTGACGATCATTTTGGCAACTCTCGTCCTCTGCTTTGGTGTTCAACCAACTGAGGAGAGACAACTGATGATGGGGTCGACGGCGACACCGTTGTTAGCCAACAAAGAGCTGCACCCGCAGGACGACGTCGTTGTCTTCACCAAAAGCCATCTTGCAGCCGACATGGCTACTACTACTTCTTCTTCTAACGACGATAATTATGATGATTTCGGGCCCACTCAGAGTCCCGTCGGTCGGTGGTCACTATCTAGATGATTTTCGGCCTTCTTCCCCCAGTCACAGTCCCGGTGGTGGTCATGTTTAGGCAATTAAACTCCGTATGTTATACCGAGTAACGTATACTCCGGGTACTCCGTAAGTTATAACGGAGCTAGTCTACCCCGGAAGCACCATATATATTACCCTGCTCCCTACCTATACTATGATGATAACAATAACAATAATAATAATAATAATAATAATAATAATAATAATAATATACGGAGTAGTATATTACTCCCTCCGTCCCAAAAAGAATGGGACGATTTAACTTTTTAGAAAATTAAGGGAGAGATATTTTAGTATTGACTTTCCAAAAATACCATTGATGTGATGGGTAAAAGTATGATGTGATGGGTAGGTTATTAGAAAAAAGGTATGATGTGATAGGTAGGGTATGAAAAAGTAAGGGGTAAAAGTGGATTTTTAATAGAAATGTAACGGACTTTACGGGACGCAGTTTTTTCTAAATGTAACAAACTTTTTGGGACGGAGGGAGTATTATTTTGCCCATCATAAAGTACATACGGAGTAGTATGTACTTTATTTATTACTCCCTCCGTTCTTTTAAATCCTTCGACTTTTGACTTTTGGCAAAAATAAGGAAAGTGTAATCTTGGTTGACTTTCCAATTTTGCCCATGATGTGATGGATAAAAGTAAGATGTGATAGTTTGGTTATTAGTTAAAAAGCATGATGTGAAAGGTAGGGTATGAAAAAGTAAGGGTAAAGTGGTTTTTTAATAGAAAGTGAAAATGTTTTAGGGAATTCAAAAACGAAAGGGGAAAGATTTTGTGGAATGAAGGGAGTACATCATTGAAACGTATTAATGAAATTAAACTTAATTTTTGGGAAAATGCTAGAGTCACAAACATATAATTCACAAAATTCACAAACTTTCTTTTTGTGGATTTTAAATTAAAATATCTTTTATTATTTGAGTGCATTTTATTTTTAGGAAAGTGTTAAAAAGGCAAGTTTGTGAACTTTAAGAATCGTTTGTTTGTGACTCTAGCATTACTCTAATTTTTGTCCTAGTATGCAAGCTGCTCCCTGCGGCCGGCTGCTGTGTTTAGCTAATACTCTGTATATGCTCCTCTCTAAAAAAACTCTTTAATTTCATTTGTGAGACGTCCCAAAAAACAATCTTCTCTTTTTTCTGGAAACTTTTGAATGGCTTAGTATCTTTCTCTTTCTTATGCCTTAATTATATGGTACGCAGTAGACCTGACAAACAGAATCGGAATTGATTATCCAAATTCAATTATCCGAAAATTGAAGATTCAATCTATTAACGAAAATCCAAAATGATCCGAACAAAATCAAAACCGACTCAATAATTCATATCTGATTTAAATCCAAAACTGATCTTAACCGAACCGATTAAACATGAAATTTATTAAATCCGAAATCGATTATAACCAAAACCGATAAAATTTAAAATTGTTTTTGCCTTTCAATAAACATACGGAGTATGATATTTTCAAATGTTACTTATATTTTACCATTTGAACTAGTTATATTACTTGCTCGTTTCCTCAAAAAATGAATTACCATCTCGCAAAATGTCGTGTCTTAAATTTATTATATTTACAAATTGAATAAAAATTACACATATTAAATATGGGATGAATAAGTGAGCCAACATCAACTCACAAAGAAATTAGATATGAACAAAATAAAAGGGAATAAAAGATTTGTAAAACTTAGAGCACTGGAAATACGTATGAAGCCCCGGAGCTTCAAACCGGGGCTTCAAACTTTCTCTCTCTGCCACGTCAGCTTTAAATTACACAAAAAATTCACTGAAAATGGTTTTGAAGCCCCAGGGCTTCAAACCTTCATTTTTTACATTTTTAAATATACAACTAAATTTAAATTAATAAATTTAAATTAATTTATTATTTAAATTAATCCCAATGAGACTAGTGCATTAAAAAAATTACATTCATTAGAAAAATCTTACA